TACCTGAATTTAAGACTTATCTGGCTGTAGTAATCAAGACTGTGGTATCAGTAGTGGGATAGACACATACATCAATGAAACAGAATAGAAAACCCAGATATAGACTCACTTAAATATGCCCAACTTATTTTTTGACAAAGGTGCTGAAGCAATTCAATGGAGGAAGGATAGCCTTTTCAACAAATGGTGCTGGACATCCATCCAACAGGCCAAAAAATGAACCACAATTTAGGTCTCACATTTTATAGAAACAAAACAAAATGAAATAAGCAAACAAACGAACAAAAACAAATCACCAACCACAGAATGAACTGCAGACTTAAATATAAAATGTAAAACATAATACTTTTAGAAAAAAATATAACATAGAAGAAAATCTTCAGGATCTAGGGCTAGGCAAAAAGTTACACCTGACACCAAAAACACAATCTATAAAAAGAAAAATTGATATATTGGATTTACCAAAATTAAAATATTTTGCTCTGTGAAAGATCTTAAGAGGATGAAAAGGCAAACTAGAGAGTGGGAGAAAATATTTGCCAACTATGTATCCAACAAAGAATTAGTATCTAAAATATATAAAGAACTGTCTAAATTTCACACACACACACACACACACACACACACACACACACACACAAAACAATAATTCAATTAGAAAATGAGAAAAAGACATGAAGAGACATTTCACCAAAAAAGATATACAGATGTCAAATGAGCAAATAATATGTTCAAAATCATTAATCATTAAATAAATGAAAAAATAAAATCACAATGAGATATCACTACATACCTTTCAGAATGGCTGAAATAAAAAATTATGACAACATCACATTATGAGGATGTAGAGAAACTGGATCACTCATACATAGCTGGTAGGAATATAAAATGGAAGTTTCTTAAAAGCTAAACATGTAATACCATATGACCCAGTAGCTGCACTTATGGACATTTATTCTAGAGAAAAGAAGACCTAGGTTCACACAAAAAGGTTTTTTTTGTTTGTTTGTTTGTTTTTAACAAAAATGTGTATAGAAGTTTTATTTGGAATAGCCCAAACTGGAAAGGGCACAGATGCTCTTTAAAGGCAAAAGGTTAAACAAACTGTGGTACATCCATACTACTCAGCAAAAAAACCAACAAACTATTGATACACGAAACAACTTGGATGTATCTTGAGGGAATCATACTAAGTAAAAAAAGCCAATCTCAAAGGTTACATGCTGTGATTAGTTTGACTTGTCAACTTAGCAGGGCCACGGTACCCAAATATTTGGTCAAACATTATTGTGGATGTTTCTGTGAGAGTGTTTTGGATGAGCTTTACATTTAAATCAGTGGACTTTGAGTAATGCATATTAACTTCCAGAATGTGGTGAGTCATCCAATCAGCTAACAGTTTGATAAAACAAAGGTTGACTTCCCCTGAGCAAGGACGAATTCTCCTGCTTCCTTTGGACTTGAACTGAACTCTTTGGACTTGAACTGAACTCCTCAACCAGATTTTGATCTCACCATATCGCCACAATTGTGCGAGGCAATTCTTTAAAATAAATCAGTCTCTACAGATGATAGATAGATGATAGATAGACAGAGGTTGTGTATGTGTGTATATATATACACATATACACACATACACAATATATACACATACAACACACACACAACCTATTGGTTCTGTTTCTCTGGAGAACCCTGACTAATAAACATACTAACAAATTCGTTTTTATAACGTTCTTGAAATAATGAAATCATAGAACCGAACAAATCAGTGGTTGCCACAGTTTAGGACTCAGTAAGATTAAGAGAGAAGTAGGTGTAGCTATAAAAGGGCAACACAAGGTTATGGAGATGGGAATGTTTTTATCTTGACTGTATTGATATCAACATCCTGGCTGTGGTATGGTACTACAGTCTTATAAGATCTTACATTAAAGGAAACTGGGTAAAGGGTATATGAGATACCACTGTATTTGAGTCCAGGGTGGCTGAGCCCAGAGGAGGAGGAAGCAAGTTGTGGGAGAGGTGTCAGGGTCAGGGAAGACTACCTCAAGCTGGCCTCTCAAGCCATGGTGAGGAACATGGGTTTCCTTCTGAGGGTGACTGGGAAGTCTTTGGAGACTTTTAAGCAAGGGGTGTTTGGTCTGGTTTAATTTTTAAGTCAGTGTTGGCTGCTCCGTGGAAAGGGGGCTGTAGAGCAAGAATGGGGGAAGAAAGGCCACGTAGGAGGTTGTGCAATCACACTAAGGAAATATTGGTGGCTTGGACCAGAGAGGGATCTGTGGAGGGGATGAGAAGAGGCCGGCTGCAATGGGCACAAAGGTGGCTCAGGAATCTTAAAATATACTGGCCTCCTTCAGGGACTAGGACTTTCCAACACCCTCTCGAGTTTCTGGCTTGGCCCAGTTTGAACTCATTTTAATTTGGTTTCCCGGAGAAGCCTTTGCACTTCCCCATACCTGACCCAGTCAGAGAGGGATGCAGCTTGCTGAAACAACTGGTTTTCTTTCTTCCCATTTATAGACGTAACCTAAACTTTCATTTTACTGAAAGAAAGGATAATAATGAAAAAGGAGGGGGCGCTCTTTTCTGTCTTTGGAAACTCGCCACCTAGAGCTATTGGTATCTACTACGAAAATTAAATTAATTCAGATATAATCAGAATGTGAACTGAAAGATTTAAAGTGTGAACCCTAAAGAACAACCACTCAGAGCTGGTTTCACTCCGCACGTCATTGAGTGGCCCCCATCCCAAGAGCAAAGCGCAAAGAGCCTGCCTTTATCTCACAGCCAGGGAAGCACCAAGACGCCTCCGTGCAGTCGGTCCCGCAGCTCCTCTGGTGGGCGCTAAGGCAAACTCAACAGGAGACGCCGAAGCGGAATTATCAGTTCCCCCAGGGTTAAATCCACCGACGCACTCACTCCGCCCCGACCCCGGAGATAAGGTTTCAGCCCATCCCTAAATGGTGCAGAAATTATTCATTTCTCAGCAAAAAGTGAGTAAGAGCGGCCTTGGCTAACCCAGAGAAGCTGGTCTGGGAGGCTCAAGTACGCGCATCCCGGGTTAGCGAGGGGCCGGACCCGCTTCAGTACGGAGAACAGCTCCCTGCGCGCGCGCTTGTGCGCGTCTCCGATCCGCACAAGAAGTTAAAAAAGCTAAGCGGCCTCAAAGCTGCACGCCAATTCAATTCCCTCTCTTAAAAGGAAGATTCAAAGAGCAAAGGTCGTCTACGGCCAAACCGCTCTGAACAAGCCCGGTCCAGTTTGATCTGGGAAGCTAAGCAGTGTCGGGGTGTTTTAAAAAATAAAAAATAAGGGATTGTAAGATGAACAAGGCCCTTGCAATCTGTGAGGTCAACCCAAGGGTTGCCTTGCCTAAAAAAAAATAAATAAATGAAAACAAAGAGCAAAGGTTGATAACAGCAGAAGGTAATGATCATTTCTGACAGCTGCACAAAGGCTTCTGCAGTGTCATGTCACTGGAAATTGATTGCTGAGGAATCCTCTTCTGATTATTGGACGCTCTGACAATAGGGCGTGCGCATCACCGGCAGAAAGCCAGGAGCCAGCTATGCACCAATGTCTAATGTCAGTGGCTACCTGTGCACCCTAGGGTCTGGTTTCAAAGCTGCCCCCCAAAGGTTGACTCTACAACAGTGAGTTCCTTATGTTGTAATTGAACAAGTTAATCCATGTAAAGTACTAAGAGCAGCACCTGGTACCAAGCAAGAACTCAATAAAGATTAACTATAGTTGCTAATAATCTTCGTTCATGCTTTTCCACTGAGAAATTATTTATTGCGTGTTTGCGTTTGTATTCGTCTCTCATTATACATTAGCAGCGCCTTAGTGTCATTTATCTCATGTATTTCTGAGCCTGGGACTGTGCTGGGCTCACTAAAACTCTGTGGTTTGAATTGTTAATATTTATTCAGGTGTGTTTTCTTGCAGAGGTGATTGAAATAAAAAGAGGGTGGTGAAATAAAAGACAGATGAAATCTGCTGAAACTTCTTCACTGCATCAACTTCTGTTTCTTTTTAACAACTCCTCGTTTTTGCTGCTGTCCATGACATCTCCTCTGTTGGGAACTGGTTTCAGTTGAGCCTCAGTGGAACCAGTGACACTAGTTGCCAAGCACAGTTCAAGCTAAATCAATTTTGATATGGCCTGGGCCCCCCCACAGGGATTGGCTATCACAGAGAATACACAGAGGGCACAAGCTCAAGCCACATGCAAAGGTTAATTTGAGTACCGTATGCTATTGCCTCCAACAAATGCCTCTTGACATACACAGAACCAATAATAATAATAGTAAAAACAATGACACCACCATTTGCTGAGCACTTATTATTCACTATAGTAAACACTCATATTATCACATTTAATTCATCCAATAAAATAAAGTGTGTATTCTGTTCTTTTCATTTTATCAGGTAAAAAAACAAAAGCGCAGAAAAGTCACAGTGAGACACTGGCTTAAGTTCACACCACCAGTCGTAAACTGTTGAGATTCAAACCTAGGTTCATAACTCTCCAAAGTTCATTCAGGTAACAACTCAAACCTACAATGGCCTCTGGCCACACAGCCTGGATCTGAAGCATAAACACCACAGTACTGGTTCTCTGCAGGGCAGAGTGCAGTGTGCCTCCCATGCCTCTGTCTTTGTCGTTTGTCCCCACAACATTACATGACAGCCCAGTACATCTCCTCTGCTTTTCACCTGTTCCCTGTTACTGCCACACTTTAAAATGTAGCTGCCTCTGGTTTATACCTTATGAGTAAGGGACCTGCTCCTATTTTCTCTCCTGGTGGAGCAAAGGTATGGAAGCCACAGGTCTCCTGAGGCAAAGCATTTATTGATTAAATTTCCATCAATAGCGTCCGCTAAGATTAGACTTGGACTTTTAGGTCCACTCCTTCCTTGCCTTGCTCCTCCTCCTCTAATGTATAACTAGTCTTGGAAAGCTGGAGAAAGATAGGCAGGAGCTGGCCAGCTGGATGTGCCACACTCACTACAGGACCTGGGATTAAGAAGAGGACTCCCAACCCATAAAATGACAGATCAGGTAAAGTAGCATTATGTTCATTTTGAATCAGCTTTGAGGAAATGAATAGATGAATTCATTCAAGTCGGTGAGCATATAGAGGATGTGGGGGATGTTGGGTGTAGCTACCACAGATCAAAGCCACTTCTCTTGGCCAACCGATAGTTCATTTGGCTTCTTAAAAATCATTTTTAGTAATTAGAATTTTAAGAATATTTGCTGTTTTCTGACTAGTCTTATGTAACATTGTCTTAATTAATTCTGCATACCCACATTACTGAAGGAATATGCAAAAAAAAAAGTCATATTAACCCAGTCTGACCAATCATGAAAACTGGTCTAAAATTTTCAAAAATGTCAATGTATGAAAAACAAGAGGTAGAAAATCTATACTAGGTTAAAGAAAACTAAGAGGAACTGACAAACGGATGCAACAATTGATCTTAGGTGGTGGAAGGTAGAAGACAGCTCTAAAGGACAATGTGGAGACAATTGAGAAATTTTGAAAATAGGCTGTATGTTACATAATAATATTCATATATCTATTACATTCTTAGATATGATAATGGTATTGTAATTATGTAGGAGAATGTCATTGTTCTTAGTGAGTACATGCTGAAGTATTTAGGAGTTGAAGCGACACCAATATCTTCAACTAATTTTGAAATGATTCAGTCACAACAACACACACACATACACACATACACAAACGCACACAATGAGAGTTATCCAAATGTGGTAAATGTTAACCATTGGTAAACACAGGTGAAGGTTATGAAGTGTTCACTGCATTACTCTTTCAACTTCTCTGTAGATACAACACTTCTCAAAATAAAAACTTGAAAATAAAGAGTATAGTACTGTTGCTCCCTTATGAGTTTCCCCTCATTAAATGCACCAACCTCTACACACAATCATACAAGTAGATAAATCTATCACCCTGTTACAGTAGGACCTCTGATCCAGTATAACTTACTCTGCTAAGCATTCTTTCATGTCAGTGAGTGACAAGGCAAGGAGCAGGGGTTTTTGCAGTCAGCCAGGTTTAGATTTGGGGTGTGGTGATGCTACTTACCTGCTCTGAGACCAGTGTTAATTTATTTAACTGAGCTTCAGTTTTCTATATTGCAACAAAATAAGAACGTATTGGGATATAACATAAGGATATAATACGGGGTATAGAGAGATTATAATAGTTCTTTACATTCTAGGAGTAATTAAATGAGATAATATTAGAGAGACTCAAGTGACAAACATCTTAATGTTAATGGTTATGTATTCATATTCATATAATGTATATTTAGAGAATAATTAAGACATTGTGATTCTCAATTATAGCCTAGGATAAAGCTAAAGCAGTTAGAACTTTGAAGATAATATAAAAATAAATATTAAGTGAATAACTATAGAAATGGTATATAGATTTAGCAAAAATCATGAAGGTAGTGTTCAAATAACTGAAGTTTAGAAGATAATGCAAAATGAAAGGCAATGTGCTTCACAGTGCCTGGCATATAGCAGATGCTTAAGCTTCATTTAAGACTATAGTTAAATTCCCTTAGGGAGATTTCGAAATTGTGCTATAGAATTTTCTTGAGAACTAAGGAATTGCCTAGTAACAGAACCCAGAAAGAACAAGAACTGATGTAAAGCACAATGTTTCAGTTTTGTAAATCCACCCAGACTTTGAAAAAAGTGGGAGAAGCACGAGATTACGGGGGATCGAATCTGCTGCAGTCACCACCTTTACCCCATCTTCCATCTCTGTAGCACCGCTGCTCACCATTGGCATTGTCACTGGTTGGACTCTTAAAATAAAAAGAAAGGTACTATATTCTTGTCTGGTGGAGGCGGGAAGAGAGAGCCAGCAGAGAGCAGAAGCCCAGAGATAGAGTGATCGGTGCAGTCACTAAGGCTGCTTGGAGACTCTGCCACAGGAAAAAAAGGAGATGCAAGGATAAAAGCCTAGGGGAGAAAAACCTGCCCCTAGGCTTCGTGGTGGGAGGACCCCAAGGTTCTTCTTCAGCTGAGCTATGGATAAGTAGTTGAACGCCATCACCCTGTGGGATTTTTGTCCAGAGACCTCATAAAAGATTTTTACGGGTAAGTGAGGAAGGAGGGGATTTGTGTGGTGAGTGGTAGGAAAAATGCACTTAGAATTAGTGGGTGTTTGGTGACTTGGCTCCAGCATCACATTTGGTAAGTTCTATGAATATGGGCACTCCTGGATTTTTCTTTTTTTAATTAGAAAGATTATGATCCTAGATTTTCAGATGTGCTTGACTTTTGAATGTCTGTTTCTGACCACTGAGAAATGCAAAATAACCAAGTAATTACAGGCATAGGCTCTGGATCTAAAACATTATTCTACAAGTTAGTGGCTGTGAGACTATAACCTAGTCTAGCTACCTATAAAATAGGGATACTAATGGCACTGTCATGAGTAGTGTGGTGGGCAGAATAATGGGCCTGCAAAAGTGTCCATAACCTCATCTCTGGAACCTCTGAATAGGTTACCTTACATGGCAAAAGGTAACCTATTCACAGGTTTTTATAACTTTATATTTACTGGTTATATGATTTATAAATGTCATTATAGTTACAGACTTTGAAATGGGAGATTTTCCTAAAATATCCAGATGGGCCAAGTTAAATTCCACAAATTCTTTAAAAGGAAGAACTTAGATGTAAAATGAACACTTGGCCTCCCCATTCCTGGCTAAGAAGACGGAGGAAAAGCACCACTACTCAAGGAACGTGTTGGCCTCTAGAGCTGGGAGTGGCCCTTGCTGTACTACCAGCAAAAAAACACAGACCCTGTTTCTACAAACATCAGGAAACAC